CAGGGGGGCAAGGGGAATAGTCAGGATGGGGCACCGTTTGCCTGCTTTCTGGCTGCAAGTTACTGTTTTCTCTTGACCTCTTTTACTATTGGTTTTATCCCTCATGGTCTTTCTGGCCACTTCAGGTATTCAGGCCCTAGTAGGGTTTCAAGGACCTATTTTTTAAGAGTGAAATAATATTTAAGATTTAGCTGTTACCATTTCCCGGATATATTTTACCACATGGTGGTATTTCTGTGATGTGGTTTACTGGTCACTGGAAAATTGACATCACCAAAGGCATCTCATTCACAATCTAAGATTTTTATGATGAATTACAGACCTGCAAGCAAATAACTGGAATTGCAAAGCTGAGACTTCTGTGCTGCTTTGATCCAGTTTTTATTGACAGTGGAGACTGTCTATGAAGGAACTGTTGCATTCAGCGTTCATGTGATTATGATTAAGCCTTTAACATAAGACTCTTCTTTCCCCTTGCAAACCCAGAACTGTAAAAATTTCCAGCATCATTCACTGTGCATGTTTCTGTTATGCACCTCAGCAGAGCGCCAGGGAGCACCAGCCTCAGAGCAGCACCCATCGAAAGCCACATTCTAGTTTTATTCTTCAATAATTTTCCATGCAAGCCTCTGAAACTGGCAACAAACCGCAGCAATCTGGGGTCTGCTTAGCGATACTGAAGACCCAGTTCCTCAGGTAGGAAGCTGGAAGGCTGCGGGCACACAACCAGTACCTGCTTCTTGTATTTGAAGTAGAAAAAGCAGCAGGCAACTGCAGAGGCCATCCTAGCTGAATACCAAGGTGCTGTGCTTGCGGAGCTGCTTTGGACCAAGAAATGCTGGTCAAAGCTCAGTCCCCTTGACAAAGGTGAATAAAGCCCCAAATCCACAGAAGTATTATAGTTCTACAGCAGGCATGTCTAAGGATCTCAAAGGCAAGTGGTTTGAATAAACTCAGGCTCCAAAGTACAAAGAAGTGTTGTGTGTAAGACAGGACAGACTGCAGTTGTTTCTCCCATAGGTGCTTTGGTTCTATAATACTAAATGGAGAAAAAAAATGTGCTTTGCCGTGTGAAATGATGACAGATGACTTGACTGCTGTCCAGCAGCAGCTACAGTGATCAGGAAGGTGTCATTTCAAGGTAGTTACCCCTTGGCGTGTCCCTCTACATCTCAGGTTTTTTGTAAAACTACGATTATCGCTAATGAGCAATCCTCATTGAGGCCTCAGGGTCTTGTTCAGAAGTGACATGGGAAAAAGACTGTGGAAACCCCCGAGCTTGTTCTTCCAGATTTTTTCTTTTAAAGGAAAGAGGCCCATGCAACTCTATCGTCTCTGAAATGTCTGTCTGGACGTTCATCTGAGCGAGAAAGTAATTTTAGCATCCATGACACACAGCTTCTGCAGCCATCCGATTGCTCAACGGCACAAAGAATAAATATTTCCTTAAGCCTGAGGACAGGAATCAGAATGCTGCTGGTTCCCCCTTCAGAAGCACCTGTGTGTGTGTTTTTTCAAGGCCCGAGTAACAGAGTGGTGCTTTGTAGCTCTGAGTCATCGCAGCTTTCCAACCGTACAAGCACAAACATACTCTTGCTTGGCGTCCTTTTTAACAAATAGGCAAATAAACGAAAACCAACAAAGGGCTGAAGGTCTGCCTGCAGCTTGACACCAAAACAGAGTCCTCCTGCAAACTTTGACATGAGCATGCCTGCTTTCCCAGAGAAGTCAGTGGTGCTACTCACGTGCTCAAAGGGTAAGCAGGTATTGGCATGCTTTACCAAACTGGATCCACAAGGCCTGGAGGAGGTTTGTCTTTCCTCTGTCAGGTATACTTGTTCTGAGGTAATGTTAATTACCTGAAGGTAATTAGAAGACAAGCTGACTGGAGTTAGGAACTGGTGCAAACCTGTGTGCTTTGCACACTTTAAAAGTGACAAATTATATTTACATATGATACCTACCTAGAGTGCTTTGAAGCACTCATTTGCACATGGTGGTTGGATTTAATGGGCAGCTTCGTCGATAGTGAGACAGTTAAAGGAACAGCCAGGTTGGGTTTTGTCTTACCACTTCAGAGGAGGTTGATGCCACCTCATTCATCGAGGCCCCTTCTCTCTCAGTATTGTCCAAATCACTCTGACCCACAGGCCAGCACCCGATGAGAGGAAGGATGTTCCAGGGGTTATGAGGCGAACTTGAGACTTGGGAGACTTGGTTTGGTTTCCTGTCACCTCTGTGAAGCTAGCTGGCCTCTGGGTGCAAGTTCCTCATCTGTGAAACAGATTACACTTCCCCGTCTCAGAGGGACACTGTGGCGGGAATGTGCTGGTGACGGTGAAGCATCAGGTCCTCGTGCACGAGTGCATCTTAGCTGCCAAGGGAAGCCAATTTACTGTTTGACAATGGGACATGCATGGTCCCCTGCAGAAGAATAAACAAGGGACAATCCATCTTCAATGGGGCTGTGTTAGCAAAAGGGCCCAAGTTCAGCTCCTACCCTAAGAAGATCCCAGGTGGCTTTTGTTTCCTTTCCTGTCCTCTCTCCCCTTGCATCCTGTATGCTTGGCAGGCCCAGTCAGTCCATACCAGTGCAAAATCCCTTGCCTTTGGGAGGAGGCTGTGTTCACATGGAGGTTAGCACATGGATGCTGAGAGCCTTGTCTTTACAGCGCTGGGCGTAAATCAAAGGAGGGAGAACTGTAGCTCTGTGAATGCATTGGCTTGTGTAAAAAGGGGAAGGACACAGTCACAGAAGAGACTACTTGTTGACATAGAATGTAGATTTATGCAGCTGTGAGTTATACCATAACAATAGCCCTTTTTATATAGTAAAGCACAGAGGTATGAGATGATTTCCAAAAGGTGGCTGAGCAATTCGCCTGCTCCACTAGCCTTGGCACCAGGGAATTGCTGCTTCTCCTCAGGCTGAGCTGTGATTCTCAGTAATTATTCCAGAACTTCTAGCTGAATGCTCTTTATTTGTATATCCTTCCTTAAAAAGGATGACTTTGCCCTTGTTTGACACTTCAGTAATTTTTTAGTCTTTCTTCTGAAGAGGAACTATCAAACTGGGGCAAACAAGGAAGGAGAGGACATTCTGTGACAAAAAGTGAGAGACCGGACCTGTTGTTGGTCTCATCACTTTTGTTGCCTTTTCAGATGGCTGGGAATAGCGAATCAGTTGGTCAAGACCTTCCCTCTGCTGCTCAGTCCCTCAGCATTTCCTCAGTCCTGTGCTGGACAGCTTAATGCTTTAGCAGACACCGCCTGAACAGCGTTACAGAAACCAAGCTCCTTCGATGACAGGAGTGTTTTCAGTGGTTCCCCTGCGACACTGAGCGGTGTCACTGTTCCACTGCCCGGCTGGCCCAGCTTTCCATTTCCTAGATCACCTCCTGCCTTGCCAGCACTGATCGTTATCCTGTGCTCCTCCTGGGAGGTGCTGCACAAACACAAAACGCAATGTTTGTTCCTAAACCTATATAACCTAATCACAAGATGGGTACTGTAATGAATGCAAAGAGACAAGGAAACGGGGAGACCACAGAAAGTTTCTTATAAGACTAGGCTTTTAATTTGACCTGGGATTGTTGTAATAATAAAGAAAAATGGCTTAAAGTTGTTCATAAGCTGCAAAAATATAGAAACTCAAGACCTCTGACTTGAGGTACTTATTCTGTTCCAGACACATCTAGTGCAGTTTTGATAAAAACAAGTCATGCACCAATCCATGGCTCAAACTCCAAGCCAAAAGGTGGTATTCTAAAGAAAAATGTCAACCTTTTTGGTCATCTGTAAGTTACAAGACCTTCCCAGCATTAGAAGAGGGCAAGAGGCTTAGGGATAAAGAATTTCTGTTTAAAGAGGTTGCTGTTGCTGAAACTAGAAAAGGAGAAGAAAGGAAGTAAAGACTTAGAGGAAACAAGAGGAGAATGCTAAGTAGAAAAATAGAAACCAGTGTTATTGTTATGGCTGTCTTATGCTATTAGATGGCAAAAGCTTACTTTACCCAGCAGCAGAAGCTGTATTGCAGTTTACCCAAGGTAAGTGGGATTTTAACAACTGTATCTAATAATGAAGGACTGCTTGCTATGTGTCAGATTTTGAATCATCTTATCTATTGAAAGATCAACAGCTGTTTGCAAGGTGTTGAGTTTGCTTGAAGGATTGGTACTGGGGGACTCCTGGGCAGAAGAAGCAGGGTCAATGAGGAGGACCTTGTGCCCGGCTGTGTGTAGGACCAGGGAGCAGGGAGGGCAAATGAAGGCCCATAAGAGCTAGAGGCAACACTGCTACCTGCTTTGCCCATGCTCTCTCACATAACAGTTTCAGGTGTTTTGGGGCTGGTTTGGTTTTGAGTTTTGAGAAGCAAAAAGCTGTTATCTTAATTGTATCATCTCTGCAGGACACAGTGAGAGCTCGAAAACGCTGCAAAATTAAAGCCTAGTGTTTCCTGGAGCTAGCCAGGGGTGTTGTATATCCCACTTGGAAGCTGGGAACTTCTTTTCCAGCAGTATAAATCATTCACCTTACTTGTTTGCTGAATGTTATACCTTAAAAATGTCAGTTGCTCAGGTCTCGGTGTGAGGTCATATCTGTGGAAGAGACTACAGAAGTATCTCTGTGCCAATTAGTATCTCTGTGCCAATTTTCTTTTCTTTACAATTGTTCTAAAGTCATAGATTTCAAATATTAGAGTACTGTAAGAAAAGGTTATATAGCAGGCCAAAAGTTCATGACAATTGCCAGATTGTATTATTTTTTTACCACCTGGCTGTATTACAAGTCCCTGTGTGTACAGTATCAAGTACATATTCTTAGCATGTCTACAAAGCGCCTTTGAAGTCATAAATGTTAGGTAATTTTTACTGCTTAGCTATCAAAAATGCTATACAAAAGAAATGTTTTCCTCTTCTCTGCCAGCACTGTGACTAGGCAGGTCTGAAGCAATTCGAATATATTGGTTCTCATGTGTTCTCTCTCCTTCCTTATTCCAGCTGTCACTACAAATTACCCCGCTGTGTGAAAGCGAACAACACTATGAATACTCTGGACGGTGCTGCACAAAGTGTGAGCCAGGTATGTGGGCGCTGGGCTGTAGCAGCTTCAGAACTGAAGAGCTCATTAAAACCAGCTCTGTGAGTCAGTAAGGCAGCTCAGTCTTGCGACTCTGCTAATCTATTGGCACATACTCTTGCAGGTACATGATTTTAGGCTTACAAGTGCCTTCTGGTGCAGGAGTGGCCCTGCTGACTTCAGCAAAAGCCATAGCAGTTATTTTGTTGGGATAGCACTTAACCACTGCAGGAGATAGAAAGCAACTTGATTCTTGTGAACGTAGGTAGGGCTGCTCCCAGGCCATAGGCTTTGTGGATGTTTCAGTGCCACACTAGATGGGGGCCAGACTGAGGAAGTGAAAAGGTGGCAGGAAGAAATGATTGTCCACAGCAGTGTTAGCCCAACCTGTTATTTTCCCTAAGCTCCTTAGACAGCTAGTGTGCAACTTGCAAACGGCCTACTTGTCCTTCTGTCATTCACAGGAAAGTACATGTCTGCCAGATGCACTGAGACTTCTGATAGTGTGTGCAAGCCATGTGGCCCAAATGAGTACATGGATGTCTGGAATGAAGAAGATAAATGCTTACTACATAAAATATGTGATCAAGGTGAGCTGTTCATACTGAAGAACCTTTCAATCCAAATTAATGAAGCACAAATATGGGAAAGTGGATCTAGGGAAGTGGCTTTGTTCAGGTACCCAGCACTGGAGGCTGGGCTTGGAGAAGAGCCTGATGGAGAGGGAGGTCCCCAGACAGCAGAGCTTCTATGCTGAGCACCGCAACCACAGTCTCCATGCTACTGATAATTATTATCTTCACTGGGGCCATTCACCTCCTGTGAGTTGATCTTAAAAGCTGTCCTTTTGCCCAGCACACCGTGCATTCACTTCCTCTTAACACATTCATCTCCCTATTGGAAAAGGTTTATTTCCCACAGCAGCAACAAGGAAAATAAGTATTGTTCAGGAGTGCAATCAGTGAAGAGCTCCCTGTACTGATCAAGGGTCTGCTATGCTTCTTCAAAGATAACATTTCCTCTAACATGGGTGGGTTTGTGTCTGGCATTTAGGCAGTCAGTAGGTAGAACAGGAGGTTCATAAACTTGAGGCTTATTACCAAAGACATTTTTACTCCCATCTGCTTTCTCTTTCAGGGAAAGCCCTGAGAGAAGTGAACCCAGGGAACAGCACTTTCCAGAGGCAGTGTGCTTGTACAGTGGGCTACCACTGGAATGAAGACTGTGACTGCTGTCAGCGAAATACCATATGTGCTCCAGGATTTGGAGTCAAGCATCCTGGTAAGATACAGAAAGGGGACATACAGAGTGAAATGTCCAGCCTTGGCCTACAAGGTAAGGCCAGCATTATGTGCATTGTGATGTTAGAGAGGACACTTTGGACTCTCAGATGACTGTCAACAGAAGATGCATATCTGAGTTATCTTTACTACTGCATATGATCCTCCTGGACTGTTTGCATTTTGAAGGCTTCTATGTTTGTAGTTAAAGTAGTATCTTGTATCAAGTGATTTTTACAAGATACCATGTGGACCTGGCACTAGTTGCAAGGTGTTCAGTGTATTTCTAGTGCTTGCTGAGGTGTCTGACTGTGAGTCACTAGGTCATGAATTGTTCCAGTGTTCAGAACAGCAGTCCATTCAGAGAAGCAATCTTCAGGGATTGTTCCTGAGGTTGGATTTGAAATCAGGTTTTGTTCAACGACTTTGCATTGGCATTTTATAGTGTTATAAGCAAGCTGAAAGTTGTAATGAGCACTGAGAAAAGCTGTGCCAAGCATGTGAGGAACCCCAAAAAAGCAGTATGTAATAGAGTCATGGAGGATGAAATGCTGCATGGACTGGAGCACAGTAGTGCTGTTTTTTCTCCACTCTAGCAAGTCCTGATGATACAGCATTTTGTTTACTGTGGCTTCACAGAAGTGAAGAAACCAGTTAGTGTCACTGTCTGTGGCATAGCATTGACATGAGGAAGTTAATGGAAGGGGAAGGATATAATAGCTGTGTGTTATTTCACAACAACTACAAATGGCTCCTGGTCATTTCTCATTTTGATCATGTAGAGAAGTACTCAGGTGAGACTAACATATTTTTTTCTGTTTACATGTGACTGTGATTGCTGCTCCAATGTAATCTAAGTTCCTTCTCTTGTCAGGGAGGCTTTCAAGGGGGCTGGTGGGGTGAAGCAGGAGGATGGGGAGCATAATTACCTTCTCCTCACCTGAAAGGAAATTCAGCTATGAAGTTTTTCTTTCTCTACTCCACACAGTGCAACAAGACCAGGACACAATGTGTATACCATGTCCCAGAGGTTACTTCTCAAAGGTTGCTTCATCTACTGACGAGTGTAAATCCTGGACCAAGTAAGTCCCTGTATCTTGTAAGAGGACCACAACATCCAGGAGACTGGGAGAAGCTTGGGTAAAAGCATATTTCAGTGGGGCTTTTCAGGCTGTCTGCAGAGCACACAGAGCATCTCTGTTGGTAGTGCAGCAATAAAAGCATTCTCACACTGAAGCTTGAGTTCTCTCTCTTGGAGTAAGAGAGAGCAGTAACAACAGAACTGCTGAGCTGATGCCGCTGAAAATAAAGATGGTATTTGAGGTTCTTATGGGTGGAGAAATGCAGGAGAAATGTTGTATGTTACAACAGAAAGTGCTACTCTGCATAAATGTAGGAGCTGTGACAAGCTTCCTCTTTGAGAACCTAGGCTCTTTGTCTTTCTTTTTCAGCTGTACAGCCCTAGGAATGACAGAAGACATGCCTGGGACTGAGAAGTCAGATGCAGTTTGTGCAGAATGGAAGGTGCCAGAGCCGTCGGAAGATGGTACATGTTCTTGTACAGGTTACCTGTTAGAAAGTGGCAGGCAGGAGGAGGGATGTGTTTACTAGCGGTTTTGGCTGGCTTAACTCCATTCCCATTGTGGGTGACTTTAGGGGGAGCTGCTGTAGGCCAAGACCGTGTTCTTGGAAAATCCCACCATTAAAGATTACTTGAAGCCTTGTGGCTCTAGGGCCCATGTCTACTGCTAAGCAGACCTTTACACCTCCAACTGAAACTGCATGGCAAGCAGAAATGCTGTTATACCCATGACCTCCAGGGGAGAAACCACAGCCCGTGGGCTGCTGGCAGCTTGAAAGAGGACTTCCAGAGGAATATGACTGGGTCACACCTCTCTGAGACACAATGACTCTGGATTCTTATAGAGATGGTACCTTCAGTAAGGCTGCTTGTCACAGAACTGCATGAGTTCTAAGCTGTTGTCTTTATTACAGAAACTGAAAATCAAATAGGAAGGAAAAAAAATCTCTTGTGGAAAAGCAGTTGAAATGAGCAAGGGTTGTCATACAGCTGAGTACAAGCTGTGTGTTGATGGCACTATCTTTTTTACATCCTGCAGGAACAAACCAGATCTTATACGTGTTGATTGTCGTCTCATTTTTTGTGGCAGTAATTGGCATTGTCATCTTCATTGTATACTACAAAAATAAGGGGAAAAAGCTGACAGGTACGTGTAGCTAACAATATTCATGCATGTGAAACTGCATGGCTCTCTGTACACTCTGATTTCATGGATAACTACCATTACCATGTTTAACTACATGCTGCTCTGCACCACGTGGCACAGAAGAGCCCTTGGCCAAAGGGAAGCAGACACAGACACAGGTAGCTTTCACTACCTCTTGTCTCCTTTGTCCCACTCTCCCTCCTCCCCTGAAACTGACGTCTGGACAGGTTAAAATATGGATTTCAAGACAAAGGCCTGTTGTGCTTTTGAAAACATAATGGAGGCAGTGTTTTTAGCTGAAGTTCTGATGAGGTATGGGGGAAATACTAGAAGGAAACAGAATAAAACAGTAAAATTAGAAAATCAGAAAAAATTCAGCAAAGACATGCTGAATGACATTGGGGTTCTCAGTATATTATTAATTCAGTGGAATTACCTTCAACAGTTACTCAACTCTCTGTTAAGCCCTGGATCTCGTTAGTTAAGGACATACCCATACTGTTCTGTTCACATTTTATTTTCTCCCCTGAAACATGGAATGTTTTTCCTTGTGTAGTTTTCCCATTGTTTCCTTTCCCAAGCCCTAGCAATATATGAAATGTTTTGGGAACAGTGGAAGGGAAGAACAGTAACCCTGTCTTCTAAAGTATATTTCAGCCTGTGTTTTAGAAATAGGGTGCCTCTGCCACACTAAACATGGGTTGTGCTAAATCTGGAATTCCTGGGATGGGCTGGAGGAAATGGTGACTCTTCTTGCAAACCAAATATGATGCAAAGCAGGTTAGGGGGGAGTTCTTTTTATTTGACATTTTTATTGCCCTGCTGTTCTGCAGTGAGAGTCCTTCATTGCCTTTGAGTGGTCTGTTCTGCTAACCAGAGCCCCAGAGGCTTGTAGGCTCAGGAAGAAGCTCTGCCTGCCTGACAAGACAGGGAATTGATGGTAAATGTGCAGGCTCAACATCAGAAGAACAGAGTCATTGCTGGGAACTGGCAGTGGCTACATGGCTGATCTATCTTCAGACATACAAAACCAGCAAGTGTACATGAGACTCGAGCCCTAAAAATCTTCTGAAAGTATAAACAGAAAACAGGAATTGATAACTCTATTAAGTGGCAGCCTTTACTATAAAGTATGTTGAACTTAAAGCTTTTCCTTGGAAAATGCTCCAATTAAATGAATTTCCTCATTAAGTACAACCTGATTAAGGAATAGGCTGCATTTGAGCCTGCCATCCTGTGGTTTCAGTGGCTTACCCTCTTCTCCCCAGGCTCCTCACTCCTGTCTGAGAATGGCCTTTTGGCCATCCATGTGACTTCTCTTGAAATAGACCATACGGCTGCAAGTGGGTCGGTATTGGGCCAGTCATAGCCTGGTGTGACATATGACCAGGAAAGAAACCCCATTTGATGTGGAACACAGTTTAACTGTGGTCTATTTTAGGAGCTTGGAAACATTTGTTCCACAGAAATATATCCCTGTTCCAGTTACAATGAATCCTCAGCTAGAGTGATGCTGGGACACTTGAACAGTCAGTAAAAACAGTCTTGCTGGCTTTTATTTAATATGATATTGTGGACTGTGCATGACTGTGGGTGTTTTGGTTTGTGGCTAACTGCAGTGCCTGCTATATGTAACAGCTACTCTTTTTGTTTTCCCTGCAGCAGATCTACAGAATTGGGCTAGCGAAGTGTGCAGCCAAATAAAAGGCACAAAGGTAAAGTCAAAGCCACTAGCATTTTCTCTTTGGTTTATGTTTTCCTTGCAGCATTCCTTAAACCCCTCCTGAAACAGACTTCACATTAACATTTGGCTAAAAATCAAGTTTTTGGGTTCCTCCTTGGTTTTTTTCAGTCTGGTTTTCTGTAAATGTGAGGCATATGAAATCACCATTCTCAACGAGCTTCTGAACTTGCTCTCCTATTTCAGCCAGTTTGAACAGTTGGAAAAGTCTCTGTGATGGTTAAATATTTAGGAGGAGAAAGTTAAGCCCACCGGTTGCTGAACACCTTACTTTCTACCTAGCAGAAAGCCTTTCTCAATCCTAAGAGCAGGAAAAGCTTCAGCTCAGTTTGCACATTTTTATATACCAAAGTGCTCACAGGAGAGAAACCTGGACTTGCAGCAATGGCAAGAATGCCAGACATGAAAGGCAGTAAGCACAAGAGCCATCAGTTAAAGAAACTGGCTGGGAGACACCTGCATTCTAGTGCTTGCAGAAATCCTTCTTATCTATTCAGATGTGAAAAAAGTATGAGGTTTTTCTCTGGAAGAAAAACAGATCTCATGCTTGAAACACCCAGATGGGGACACAGATTCAAATGCATGTGCACTGCCTGCTTCACACCATGGACGTGGACTGAGGTGTTCAGGTGCATGCTCTCACCACCCCGTCTGGAGCTCTGTCTAGTTTAGCTGTTGAAAGACTCAAATTCCATTACTAAAAAAACCCCATACCAAATAAACCCACCTTTCTGATCAGGAAGTTCCTCTTTTGTCCCATAATTTTTTGTGCAACCTGCCTTGGCAGCTTCTCAGATCCTCTGAGACAAAGGAGTGAATCAACAGCAATTAGTAGCTGGCAGCATTTACACTTTCCTTTTTATCCTGGAAGATCTGAACAGACATTTCAGATGAAAGGTTATCAGTTTCCAAGTGACAGTTTTTACAGCACAACTTCCATGAACTGAAGGGAATCCTTGAAGTATTTCCCAACCTTTTTTGGGGAGGCTGCAATCAAAAATACAGCTGTACTTTGACAAGTAGTGGCAACATGAATGGCATTGTGGGGCTTTGCATTTGTTGTCCGAACATTTTCTAGGTTCAAGGAACATTACCCATGTGACTTCTTTTTTTCTAGCTTGTCTTGGTCCCTCTGAATCAACTCAGTTTCTTTCTTCCATCATTACTGATAATGAAGATTTTACTCCCAGTAAGGCCCTCACAGTTCAACAGCCTTTCAAACACAGAGGGAGTTTCGAAACCCTTATAAGCTGTTAGGTAATTCCTATTGATGGTCCATAAGGAACAACAGAATGCAGTGACTCTTCTAGATTTATTAACTCCTAAGTGCCTTCTTAAGAGCTAGGAATAATCATCTCCCAAAATTAAATGCTATTGCCCCTGAGGCCTCAAGATATTTTTCTGAACACCCACTGAGCCCAGCACCACTGCTCACAGTTTCACAGCAGAATGGAATTACCCCTGAAGAGTCAAATATAGTGGTGTTCCTAAACCTCAGCAGCTCCACACCAAGAAGGAACTGAGATTTGCCTTTTCCTCTGTCTAGAAAGATAACCTTCTGCTGATCTGTTTTGTAAATAAGTTTTTCTTTTGAATTTCTTTCAGGAGACCCCCAGAGATACCTCTGTTACCATGAACATCGTGAATGTTGTTGTCCCCCAGACCTCTGAAGGCATGCGCCTCCTGGATCCCGCTGGCTCTCCTGCCCCTGGAAACTCATGCTGCATCAGCGGACATTCTCCTTGCAGGAATGGGAGGCCCAGCATGGCACCGTGCGAGGTGGGAGGGAGCCTACAAGGGTTTTCTGTGGTAACTGAGACTGATGATGATCATTTCCCACCAGTTCCCACAGAAGATGAATACACGGATAAGGATCTCAGTACCGCTGATTATTTGTCCTTACCGAGCAGGACTGCCAGTAAAACCGTGTCGTCATTTTCTGAACCGATGGAGGCAGGGGAGAATGACAGTTTAAATCAGTACTTTTCAGGGATTGGGAGCACAGAGGACATATCAGTCTCTCAAGGCTTTCACCCTTTCACAGATGGGGCACACACTGACACGGACAAACTTCTTCAGAAATCTTGCCAACATGCCCACAGTTGCCCAAAGGAAATTGGCAACAAAGACACAGATCATTGTGTAACAAACTCTGACTCAGAGAAGATCTGCGTGAGGTGTGGCATTTTGTACAGGGAATCTCCCAGAAAGTGGAGCAAATCCTGTTTTGCTGCAGCTGACAGTGACTCCACCTCCCCAGAAACTGGATCCTATGCACAGTGCACCTGTGGCTTGAATTTTCTCTCTGCTGGTCAGAGCACACTAGCAAGTGACCATGGTATGGAAGATGCATCTTCAGATAGTACCAACATGAAGTACCAGAACACAAGCAGAAGCACTTCAGGGACAAACAAAAGCACTTCAGGGACAAACAGCAGCACTTCAGACCTCCCTCCAGCATCTGGTAAGCCCACTAGGCTTGACCCGTACACAGTCATATAGGATTATTCTCTCTGCTAGCTCAGTATTATTCAGAGGTCTGATTTAGGAAAAGGGGGGGGAGAAGAATGAAATTATGACTTTTCACTTAATTGCCCTGAAGCTAAACTGAAAAAAAACACCCAACAAACTGAATCCTGAAATAGTAAAGCCATTTGGTTTGTAATGATTTCTGCGACAAGTACGAGCACTGTGAAGGACCATTGTCCTGCCCTGATCTAACCAGCAATGCCAAGCCCATCTTCTGGTTGTCGCTGCAGAGGCCAGGCAACTCTGTTACTGAACTATTTTAGTGATAGCAGATGTGTGTGTTGGAGAAAACTGAGAAGGAGGAGAGTATAGGATCCTAGAGACTGAGTTAAGAAAGGATGCATAGCACTCAGAAGGGCAATTTTCCATTCAACAGTCTGCACTCACATTTTTGCCATTAGGTTTAAGTCCAGTTACATTTATGTGGTGGTCAGTGAAATTCCAGGCTTGAGCTGTTAATGTGGTGGCCGTGACTGAGTCTGAAAGATTATGCTCAGTTTTGTGCTTCTAGCTCTCTGTTTTAATTTGCAATGATATAAGCATTCACCTAAAAATAATTTCATGCAGACATTGTTTCTCTATGCTCTGTCTCCTAAACAGTACTGGAACACTGTTGTCAATTTACTAATTGTGTAACTATATCAAAATTGTCAAATGAAAGCAGGTGAAATATCACTGAAGCAAAACTGGTGGAAGGGATGTTATGAGCCTTTTCTGGATGAAACCTTCCTCTCTTTTTGCTATAAAAGTCTGCAATCTGCCTGTCATGTGTTACCAGTCACTTTAGATTATAATCTCTTAAGGTCCAATGCTTTATTTTTATTTATGTCAACACATTGCCAAGCATAATGAGACCTTGGTTTTGACTGGGACGTCTAAGGATTACTGTAATACACGTAACAGTTGTAAGCAGTTGCTCTTCTTTAAAACCATGTTATGCTTTAAAGTTTCTTACGGAGACATTCTTGTCAGTCTGCCAAAGCCCACAAGCAGCACTTTGGAAGGCCCTTCTCTCAATGCACATGCCATGTGGGAATCTGAAAATGTGTGTCTCAATCTTTCTGAGAGCAGATACTCCTTATGCCATTTCAGTTTCCTGAAATCCTGACACAGTTCCACTGCCTAGTCCATACAAAATTCCGCACTGGTAAAGAGAACACAAGATTATCTTTTGTTGTTGTTGTTGGAAGGTGACTCTGAGGTGCAACCGAAAGCGACATCATATTTGGCACTGCAGAAGTTATTGCTTTTCTTTCTAAATCCGACAGGAAGAGGAAGAGAAAATATTAAGGAACAGTAGGGCAAACAAGAGAGTTTGGATTTAAGTGACATGCTAGAAAGTGCCATCTTGGATCTGCAGCAGAATAATTTCTATGGGATTTTTATTGTGCCTGTGCCTTCAGGTATGTAGATGCTACAGTGCCATCTGGTGAAACAAGCACAGATGCTGTCTTCCTAATGTGCCATTTTTTAGGCATGAATGCTGGAAGGTACTGACTGAGCTGTGGGCAGCATGGGAGTGTGGGTTAGTTAATCTGCAGGTCAGGTGGCTTGCTGGCAAAGGGTTTCTTCTGTCCGCAGAACGGCCATGCCCTTCTGGCAATGCCTGGTTGCACAAGGAGTGGGACAGGGCTTAGCCATAGTTTCCACACTGAAGCACCCTGGCCACGCTGGGGCTCCACGTGGAGCTGCAGCGGCATCAGTCATTTTGCTGGGCCTTCTGCAGTGACCAGATGGAATAAACATGCATGCAAAATAACTTTCTGTAAAGCTTCTTAAAGCAACTGAAGCCACCAGGCTTCGCACAGTCATGCTAAGACAGAACAGTTCAAAAGAGGACGGCTTAAAAAATGGGAAGAAAAAGGCTATCCGTAATTCCATGAAGTTTTGGTTTTAGTTTCATAACACTCAAAATGACAATAGAAATTGCAAACTCTGTTCCTTCTGTGAAATAATCCTAGAAGACCAAAGTAAACCTCTAGACAGGTACCACTTAGAGGGATCACTGCCAGTGACGGAGTGAGCCTTTAAGTGCACTTTCAAAACCCCCAAGCCTGAAGACAGTCTCAACATGAAGCATCAGTTCATGACCACCCCAAATCATGTGTAGGGCTACAATATAAAGCATGGGTGCAGGAAGACTTAGGTGACTTGCAACTTGGAATGGTTTTCTCCGAATGCCTTTCTCTTCCAGATTCCAAACCAGCCCAGTTTGGCAGCAACAGTTCTTACCACCCAGAGGCCATCAGATGGCTTAGAGAAAATTAATCACCTGCATTGTTCCAGTTCATAGTGAATAATTAGTGCAAAAATTAACCTGTTATTGTAATTACTATCGTCAGGTAGTATGAAGAGATCAAAAGGCTGAAACCTTGCAGAGAACGATGCCTTCACTTATCCCCTGAACGTGTCCATTATACTTTTCAGGTTGGAAGCACATGTCTTAGTACAGTCCAGGAAGCTCTTGTGTCCATTTTCCGTGGGTTTGGGCCTCAAATACCCTTTTGTTTCATCACAGTGCCTTCAGAAAGCAATGAAGATTTGGCAGCCACATTCAGCTAGACATTATAAATGTGTTAATCTGCCCCTCATCCCCACTGTCACATATATTTCTAAATTCTTGACCTCGTACTGAGCACTGGTAAAACATCTCTGCAGTACCTTTCACAAGTGATAGGACACCTGAATGAAGGCAAACAGTTGTTTCTGTATTCCCATTATGCCTAATAGTTTTGTTGATGGCAAACAGCTGAAACAAATCGAACACAGGGGATGCAACTGGCAGGGAAAAAACTCCTGCAGAGAAAACTCCTATTGACACCTCATGTTAATCAACAACACTTGGAAAGAAAGCGAAGAGCTAGCAATGCAGTGGTTTAGCAGAAATAAATAGGATTGCTTGAGGGGGGCTATTTAGAGGGACATTTAGAGGGACATTCAGACTCGGCTATGAGCAGATATGGGTCCGAACTCAACACAGCTGGAGCCCAGTGTCCTATGCTGATGTGCAAACATCACCTGTGACTGCTAGGAAAACAGGATTTCTCTGCGCTAGGCCATGCTTAGCTGCAGTGAAAGAGTGTCTCAAGTGTTGAGGATCATAATGAGGAAAGGCACAAAACATCTAAGAGCTGTCAGATCAGTCCGCAAGAAATGATGAAGTGAAGCACAGCAGGAAGAACATTCCTTAGGTAGAGTGTTCATAGGCTAGGAAGATTTTTCTCTTTTTAACTTGGTTGCTTCGGTTTGATTTTGAAACTTGAACAAGTTTGTTAGTTTGTGGTTGAAAGTTTGCTCTGAGTTACTTTCTTTCTGCTCTGAGGGTAGTCTATTAATTCCCAAGCCTGGTCGTACTGTCACTTGTGTCAGCAGCTTAGTCCCTGAATGGTAGAAAGATTGAATTTATACTGACAAATCCCTAACCACGGGCAGATAGACTGAAAAAGTAACTATGTTATGTTGCTGTAATATAGACTGCCTCTTCACTGGAGTCAGCAGATATCCAAGAAAATCCATGAGAGCACTAGATGAGTACCAGAGTGTACCTACAGGGAGGATCAGGACAATATCAGATAACTGCCTCTGTCATTAGGACACTGTGTGACTGTATGGTCTGATGTTAAGTCTTTCAGTATATATTCAAGAAGCTTGCTACCTAGCTCATACGGTGCGATTGATTGTTTACCAAAGGGGAAAAGAACCCCAATGTATTGCTTGGGACTCTAAAAAAATTATCTCATAATTAGAAATAATGACCATTTCCTCACAAATCATGGGCAGAGGCACTTTGGATGCAGCTTGTGCATCGGGCAGCACGGAGGGCATGAGATTGATGCTCTCACTTTTGCTTCCAAGAGCACAGCTGAGAGAGAAAATGTTTCCAGGCCTTCCAGTCAGGATCCCTGTGGGTGACTGACTTCATCCTAAGGAGGCAAAAATGGAAATAATGAGAAGGTACAGTGGAAGACATAGATTAAAAGAGCATCCTTGTGTCACGGGGAAAAAACAGTGGAACAAGAGTAAAGCCACCACTGCGGATTAAATTCACAGTGCTGAGTGTCCATCTTGTGAGGGGAAAACACTAATCACATGTGTCTTCTTCTCTCCCCCTCCTTCCCCAGGAAATGTGACTGGAAACAGTAACTCCACCTTTATCTCAAGCGGACAAGTAATGAATTTCAAGGGCGACATCATTGTAGTCTACCTTAGCCAGAACTCCCAGGAGGGCGCAGCGGCCTCGGGGCCCAGCGAGGAGAACGTGGGCAGCCCGGTGCAGGAGGAAAACCTCAGCCGCTGCGAGACGTTTGCCGGCAATGCCCAGCACTACAAGGAGAAGTGTGCGGAGCTGCAGCAGGGCTCCTGCCTGGCGGCGGGGAGCGGGGGGCCACGGTGGCCTGCCGGATCCCTGCCCCAGCACAGCCCATCCTGCCGCAGCCAGGCCTTGCGGCCGGTGCAGGAGGAGGGGAAGCTGGGACACTTCTCGGAGAAGGTGTTGAACTGAGGCCAACCGGCAAGGGGTGGTGGGGCTGCCATGGGGCTGCCGAAATCCCGGGTGTTGCTACAGGTATGGAGACTGTTGCTGCCCGTGGGGTATCCCAGGAAGTCTTACAGCTGGAAAGGACGCTTGTGGCACAAGTGCCAGCGGTGGTGCTCTTGCTGAGGAGGTTACTGGTAGGGAAAGGCACACACGTGAAGCAGGCACGCTGCCCTCGTTGCAGAAGCAGCAGCAGGGCTTTCTCCTCTCCCTCACAAGGTGGTTGGCTCCCACTGGACCCCACTCCCTGGCACCTCTCCACAGCAAGCAGCAAAGGAGGGTTGATCCTTGTAGCCCAGGGCGTGGTGAGGAGGAAAACGTTGCTGGCCGGGCATGTGGGGCACTCCCAGAAAGAGGATAACATGGTGGAGGATGCACTGAAAGGGGCCCTGAGCTCTGCCGTGGGTGTTTCTTTTTGTAACTAAGCTGCGCCCATTCTGGTGGGTCCTGGGCCTCCTCCATGCCTCTGTGGTGGAAGGAAGTGGCAGCCACCTCTGCTGCTGAGCGTAGTGACACAGGCAACCTTTGCCTCCCTGCAGAGATCAGGCAGGTGCTGTCATCCCTTCCCATCTGTCCCCAAGGAAGCAGATGTTCCAGTCTCCAAACGGCCAGAGCCAAGATCCTGGCCTGCCTCTTATTACCGTGTGGGTAAGCATCGGTGTAATGCTGCCCCACGAGCACTGTGACAGGCAAAACAGCTGGTATGCCTTAGAAGCATATTAGATAAATCCTGAGCAAAGATCATTTATAGTTTTGGAGCCTGATTCACCTCTGCCATATTGCACCTCGCCAGAGGAATCTACACCCCTGAAGATGAGAGTGACAAGTGCCTGGCATGCTGCTGCATGAATAATGTCACTGAAGTTTAAGACACAATGCTGCTAGCAGGTGGAGGAAGGGTCTGTGATAACCAGCTGTGGTCATTTCCTGAGTGACAGGAGAGGGAGGGATTACCTAGCAATGGAGAGTTTGATCAGGGTCAAACACACATGCCTTCATCTGCCCAAACAATTCTGTCATTCCCTCTGACATTTTCATTAGCAAACAGAGCTTTACTTAGGTAGCATGAAGCTATTTCCAGAGCTCAGCCTGCCTGAGCTGAAATCAAACTGTAGCCACCATTACAATGAGAGCCGATAAGCAATGGGACCAAAGGTTCAGATTTAAAGAATAATAGTAGTTGTAGTTAGAAGGGAGTCTTAGCTACTGGATTGGCTTTGGTTCAGGTCCTGTATCCTGCAGCCTCCTCCAGCAGCCACTGTGGAGAGAAAGGTGAAGGGAACAGAGTCTCAAGGAACTCACAAGAGGAAAAGATAATATTTTTAATGATTTCCTGACAAGGGGTAATTCTCTGACATTCTCCTGCGCAAGTGAGTACTGCAGGAGGCTATCTTCAGTCTGAGCCTTCAGGAGGGTCACTGCTGTGTTTCTTGCCAGACAGTAAAGGGATCTCTTACCTAGTGTGATGGAAGAGGTCTCTGGTAGGGAGGGCTCCTCCTTGAGGAAGTTTTAAAGCTGAGGGGTTCACTGTGTAGCTGCTCTGTTTGCAATAGTATTTCTCTGCAGGTGAAGAGCACCTATAAAGCTGACAAGGTGACCACTGTGTCATGATAATGGATGTGTCACCCATAATACAAAAGGAAGGGCTTAGACAACTTCACCTCTCAGGAGAACAGTTCTGCATTATTTATATATCTGGGATATAAAGTTCAGTACAAAATTTCAAGTCTCTCTTGGGTGGCTGTCAAAAAGGGCACTGAACAACCAGTCTCCCTTTCACCTCTGCATGGCCCTCCTAGCCTAGACTCAGCCAGGCAGGTAGGTTGTCCCATTCAGATGGCTACGTCTGCCTCTTTGAAGGTGTGTAACTGAGGCTCTTTTATCTGTGGTATTCTTTTGTCCTTCCTGCTGGATCCTTTACAACCTACTTCTAGCCTCTGCTGGCCTAATTCAGTATACCCTAGGCACTGGTGCAGTAGGGACAAGGACACAGAGCCATCAACACCTTGATGCAAGGTGGTGCAGATACTTCCCCACTTCATATTTTCAGTCATGTTTTCCTGGAAAGCATTAATCCAGGATATCAGCACCACTTACAGGGCAGAATTCTTGTGCTTGGCTCTGGCTAAACTACCTGGCCGCAAGTCCATCTTCTACTCCTTCTCCCTCTGCAGCTTTTTTCTTCCATTAGTTTGTATCTGCCACCAGAAAGCAGGCTCAAAATCCTGATTTCAGAGAAGACAATGGCACGTTTACTAGGTGTCCTTAGTCCTCTGAATTTCAGGATCCTCCTGAGCAAGGACTGAAACTAAGATCATCAAGCGTGAAGAAATGGATCATAACAATCTTGGCATTTTGTCCACTTCCTTATGGGAAACGTGATGTTCCAACAGATCCATATTTCCTATAAAGTCTACCCAAAAGTGAAGAAACCATATCACACTCATCATTGTGCTGCATGTTCCCTGGGTCTCTGCCTGGCTGCTTAGACAAGGATCCAAAGGGACTTTTTATCCTCATGATTTCATTTGCCATCAGTTTGGAGCTGGGGCTGGTTTTTAACATCTGTTTGTACAATGGGGCCCTATGCATTGGGCACTAATTTGGAGGCTTCTGGCTGCTATTGTAATACACATAATTAATGATAATAAAAATCTTAAAGATCTACTTGAGAAAAAGTGAAGATTTTCTTTAAATTAATGGACAAAAGCAAATACATTTTTATATGCCTATTTTGACCAAAAAAAAAAGAAGAATTTAATGTGAACATAAAAACTTTCCCAGTCAAGTCTTTTTAATATCTTTTGCACGTAGAATTGTTTTAACAGAACAGAAACCCATGCTCATACACAGAACCAAACAGGAACTCTCATAGATCTGGTGTAGTAATGCCTTACTGCTGAGAACTGGTCACCTATTCCAGCTCATTCCTGAAGTGTCCTCCTGCACAGCATGCATTTTTACAAGTCTTTCATTCTGAGAAGCCACAACATGCATTATTAATGATGAATATACTAGGTGCTCTTGAAACTCAGCTACTTCAGGCCTGGCAGGGCAGCAGTACTTCTGCATATAACCATGGAAAAATGAGGAGCAATCTATTGCTCAAGGGCACTGGAACAGCCATTCTTATCCACATGGAAAACAAGATAGCAAAGATCAGTATAAGCAGTAACTGCTGTTAATCTGTGTACTCTGCTACATGTTCACATAGAGATTGGAAATCACTTTAAGAGGCTTACAGCATATCTGGGAGTAGCATCACTAAAATGTCATATAATTTTTACTTGTTCATTCAAGTTCCCTTCATTTTATCATACTGATGGTGTCTGAGCAATTACACTCCTGTGCCTATTAGAAAACAGAACTCTGCTGAAGGATGTCTGTGCTAATCAGGTATTTAACAAAGCTGTAGTTTTATCAGATACCTCTATTCAACTTAGGCAGCAGTGCACCCTCACTAGCACCCTTAAAAACCATCTGCAGCAACTGGAGAATTCACTTCTGCTAGTGCATGATACTAGACATGGTAAAATGGCTGCAAACTCTTTGTGTGAAAAAGTTATTTCTGGAATATGTAGCATATATTATTAATAGATACTTAATAATAGTCACTGAAAATTTGCAGTGTACTTGATCAAGTTGCCTGAGGTTTCTTGCAAGGAATCATTGACTGGTTTGGGTTGGAAGGCACCTTCAAGACAATCTCGTTCCAAGCCACCTGCCATGGGCAGGGACACCTCCCACCTTACCAGGTTGCTCAAAGCCCTGTCCAACCGGGCCTTGAACACTGCCAGGGATGAGGCAGCCACAGCTTCTCTGGGCAACCTGTGCCAGTGCCTCACCACCCTCATAGTGAAGAATCTCTTCCTTATACCTCATCTAAATCTACCTTTTGTCAGTTTAAAGCTATTCCCCCCTTATCTTACCTTATCCCTACACACCGTTGTAAAAATTCCCTCTCCAGATTTCTTTAGGTACTGGAAGGCTTCTGTAAGGTCTCACAGAGCCTTCTGTTCTCCAGGGTGAACAACCCCAACTCTCTCAGCCTATCTTCACAGGAGAGGTGCTCCAGCCCTCTGATCATCTTCATGGCCTCCTCTGGACTTGCTCCAACAGTTCCACGTCCTTCTTGTGTTGGGGACCCCAGAGCTGGACACAGTACTCCAGGTGGGGTCTCACCAGAGCAGAGGGTCAGGATCACCTCCCTTGACCTGTTGATCATGCTTCTTTTGATGCAGTCCAAGATATACAGGTGGCTTTCTGTGCTGCAAATGCACGTTGCTAGCTTATGTTAAGTTTCTCCTCAACCAACACCACCAAGTCTTTCTCCTCAGGATGGCTCTCAATCCATTTTCCACCCAGTCTGGCTTTTTGCTTGGGGTTGCCCCAACTCAAATGGAGGCCCTTGCACTTGGCCTCATTGAACTTTGTGATGCTGAACCACTCCAAACTTTATAAGCTAATTTTCCAAACCTCCTTCCAAATGGCTGTTGCTGTTTTCAGTCTACCAGGAGTAATTTGATGTTGACCTGAAAGGCACATGCTAGGGAAACCTGCCCACAGCGCTGCTTTACAGCACGCTTGCTGGGACATGTTGGCACTAGAAAGCTCTGCCTGGCAGCATTTGACCTTTGAGGTTTCCCACCCCCTGCTCCTCACAACGTTAAATGCCAATAGTTGGCATTCACCTTGGCTGGGTTGTAATGATATCTCTGAAAAAGCCAAATTGGTAATTTTACAGCAGTCACAATCACTGCTGAAGCAAGGGACATGTGATTCCAGGTGTTGATGGAAGCAAGTCCTATTTCAGACAGAAAGATTGTCTCTTCTTGCCTGGCATTATCCTTATTTCCAGAATGAAGAGTGAATTGTTGCTATACAATAAATGATTTCTCACAGAGCTCTGCCATAGGAAATTTTACTGTGCCTTTGTGTTACAGTGTCAATCACCTTGTTGAGTGGGAAGGCTGAAGCAGAAAACGAAATGCAAACAGCTCCTTCACATCCCAGTTTCTTGAACTTGATTCCATAGTAAAAGGTACTACGTTACATATGATTGCTAAGTCCACATTAACAAATGTTGTAAGGGGCAAGTAAAGAAGAGCATTTCCCCCCTCTCCTGCCCCGAATTCAGAGGAGGAACTGCTTTTGTTTAAGTGGTGTTGCTGATCACACAGTGTCTTTACCTGAGGAGATGGTGCAGGAGAAATTCCTTGCCCTTCTTTTTTTCCTGTTCTTGTAGAGGGTTTTATACCTTCTTATTTCTTTCCCTACTTTCACCAAGTATGGGACAATTTTCCTGAGCTGAATATATGTTATTTTCAACCATTGTTAGGCGTTCAAACCCATTCTATCCAGCAACCAAGGCTGCACTCCTTGATGGGCAATGTGCAGTTTTTGCATGTACCTTCAAAGGCCTCTGTTGTCGTCCAGTATTTGTACCCTAAGGGGTCCCCATGAGGACTCACCCTTGACAGACCCTAGCTTGTATTTCTCATTGCTCTTACTTCAGTAAGTGTGATTGCCTGCCTTTTCTTTCTACAAGGCACCAAAGCTTCTTGTGGCCAACAAGTAATTGTGTCATCTCCGCAGCAAGGTTTGCTAGCCCTCTGCTCTTGCCTTCAGGTCCTCCAGTATTCTTGTTGCATTGTCATATACTTGTTATGGTTTTGGTTTCGGGTTTGATTTTTGGTTGTTGTTTTTTTCTTTTTTTAATGTAAGCCACAGTGTCTGATTGGATGTGTTTTAACACTGCTTTTTTCCTTCTTTTGTCTAGCTATCTATGGTTTCTTTGTTTTTTTGACTGAGGATTACCAAAGCCCTTCTGGCTCATTCTTTAACATGCCTGATCACTTGATCAGTCCTTAGGTGTTGTACTCACTTTAACTTGCATCAAAGTTGACAGGTTTGTGGCATAATGTTGCTATTGGGAGTCCCAGATTTCTATACATTATATACAGATGATCATACACAAAATTGCTCCTGATTTCAACTTCCTAGAAAACTGTTAGAAAGGTTTCCAAGGAGGAAAAAGGTGCTCAGGAGTACTGGGGACCACTTGGACAAGCTGTACATATGCAAGACAATGGGACTTGGCAGAATGCATCCAAGGCTGCCACATCACTGCAAAACCACACCTTAACGTCCTTGACAGGCCATGGAGTTGAGGGGAAGTCCCAGCTGACTGGAAAAGGGCAAATATTACACCCATCTACAAAAAGGGGAAAAAAAAGAAGATTTGGGAAATTACCAGTGAATCAGCCTTACTTGAGTCCCTTGAAAAATGGTGGAACAGGTCCTCATGAAAGCTATTTCCAGGCATGAAAGACAAGAATGCAACTAGGAGAAACCAACACACCTCAGCTAACTCAACCCTGTCCCACTGTCAGCAATTCATTGTTTGCTTTGTTACTGCTTCTGTAGAAACTTGAGAGGCTGACCTTACTTATAAAGATCAAGGCAAAGAAGGCATGAAGGAAAACCTTCACGTTTTCCTCTGGCATTTGTAACTAACTGGCCAACCCCACTCAGCAGTGGACCTGTTTTTTCCTTCTGCTTGCTAACATGCATACAGTATATTAGTACTTACTTACTACTCTTGACATATTTAGCTGGGCTTTTGCTCTTCATCTCTGCATGCCAGAGTGGTATTTCTATATTTTGCTGTGGAAGCTTGTTCCCTTTTCTATCTCTCATGTTCCTTTTTTTGCATCTCAGTTCTCTCAGTAGCTCACAGGCTGGTATCTTGCTGTGCTGGCTGCTTTTCCTGCTTAGGTGGATGGACTGCTCTTGTGCTTGAAGAAGGCTGTCTCTGAAAGCCTCCCAGTACTACTGAATACCTTTAGCTTCCAAAGTAGACTTCTTGGATACCTTTAAACAGCTCCCTGAGCAAGATAAAATCTTCTCTTACAAGTTCTGGGGCTTTATTCTACTACTTATCTTCTTCACACTCCTTAGGATGTTCAGCTCTATGATCTTAGCACTGCAGCCAAGGATGTCATTCTCAGTCTTTGAGTTGTCTGAAGAAAATGTCATCTGTTTTTCTTTCCCTATCAGGTTGTCCATAGCAGACACCCACACCACAAGCACTCCCATGTCCTCTGATTGGTGACATCTCTGACTTTGACCTGAAGGTACTCAGCTGGCCTGTCCTCTTGCCTATGTCCTCAAATCACACTTTTACAGAGAGCATAACCCTTCCTCCTCTTCCACCTATTTTGTCTTTCCTCAAAAGCATGGAAGCTGTTGCTTTTGTTCTAACAGAGCTATTTCCTCAGCTGGTTTCTAAAACTACAGAAAGCCCCCAACATTTCAGTGAGTTCCCACTGTTGAGCCTTTGGTTATAGGTCTGAAAGCTCTATCTTGGGCATAGGATGGGCTTTCAAATTTCTTACCTGTAGGAAGGAGAAGGTGAGAGGCAAGGGTTGGAGCTGGTACAAGGAGGAAATGCTGAAAGAGCTGCTCTTCCCACTGCCCTGTGGGGGTGGAGGGAGAAAACCCTTGCCCCTCTGGTGGAGGCAAGCTGGGCAACAGCATCCTGGAGACTTTGCCAGTGAGACCTGGATACCCCCTCTTCTGCAGGGGAAGAAGCAGCCGGCACGTGATCCAGGGTTTCCATCAGGTGAAATCAGACCTCTGTGTTTGTGTCTCAAAAAAAATTGG